ACTTTCGCATTTATAATATTAAGGGCCTGTTCCACTAAATTGTAAATTGTCTGATAATACTCCAACGTGTAAAATGTAATAGAAATATCGGATTTAAACCCTTATCTGACAGTGACGTCATTGAGCTATCTGAGGCTCTATCAGCCAATTTTGGGAAAGGTACATATTCTTGTTTATTTCCAGAGGTTATGTGAAGAGTTGGAGTACTCCGAGCTACTGGACCTGGCAGCGGGCAGCAGCAGCGCGGCGGAGCGCATGTCGCTGGTGGCCGCGTTCGCTGTGAGCGCGTACGCGGCGACCGCACACCGCGCCGCCTCTAAACCATTCAATCCGTTACTAGCAGAGACTTATGAATGTGTTAGAGAGGATAAAGGGTTCAGATTCATCGCTGAACAGGTATGCACTCGCCTACAGTTGGATAGTGGTGAAACCTGGTACCAAATATCCAAAATATTTACCCCCTAAGTTTAATGGCGTATAAATATATATCCTAAAGCGTGTCGTAAGTGTATGGCTTTTTATAAAAAAATAAAGAATTATTCAAAAACATGCTGTAATTACTGACATCATAGGCAACAAAGAAGTGTGTGTTTACGCTTTATTATATTAGTATAGATATTGTTAATCACAGTATATTTTTGAATTACTATTGCTTTAATAAAAAGTCTTAAATCTATGATACGCTATAGGATATATATTGTCACACTATTAACTTAGGAGGTGAATGAATTAGAAAAAAACGCCATGCGAGAAAGAGACAAAAACTATAAGCTAAATAATAAAAAAAATCTGTTAAGTCAATAATGTACAACTAATCTATACTTATATAATAAAGCGTAAACACACACTTCTTTGTTGCGTAAGATGTCAGCAATTACAGCGTATTTTTGGATAATCCTTTTTTTTAATAAAAAGGCCTACACTGACGTCGCGCTACAGGCTATATATTTTCACGCCATAAAATTTAGGGGGTAAATATTTTGGATAAAAACCCTAATGTGGGATAGACCGTAAGTTGCTGCCAACATCAAGGAAGCAAGGTTGCCATGCTTTGTTATCATGTTATGACATTTGCAATTGATAATTTGACAAATGTAAACAAAATATTCTTTTGTAATTTCATGCAAATGAAGCCACACAAAAACAGCTAGTTTCCTTATAAAACCAAAGCAATGATTACCACCTTAAAACCCAATTTAGATTATTCCAATCCAGTGTTGGATTACAACTAACCCACTTTGAAAGCCAGTGTGGGTTAAATTTATTCAAAGGCAATCCAGCACTGGATTGCTGGACTGGAATGTACTTTGTGTCACCAGGTATCGCACCACCCCCCCATCTCTGCGTGCCACGCGGAGTCCGGTCGCTGGAGCTTCTGGCAGGAGGCGCGCATCCGCACCAAGTTCTGGGGCAAGTCGATGGAGTTCCAGCCGGCGGGCCGCGTGCACGTGCGTCTGCACACCACCGGAGATCATTATATATGGAATAAGGTACATCTATGGGTTTTTTTTTTAAATCGACATCTATAGACTCTTGGTCCGTACTATTTTTTGCAGTTTTTTTTTTCTTTCTTTGTTGCGTTATCCTTGTGCTATATTAATGAGTTCCTTTTTTATATATTTTTTTTTATTATTGTTTTTTCCTTCTTTCTCTATTTTGATATACTATACGAGCTGTTCTCGAGCGCCAGTGGTGGAGAAATTGAGAAGCAAAAGGTTAGCGTGGTATGGACATATTATGCGACGAAATGATGGGGACATAAACCAGAAAGTGTTGAGATTGAATGTGGATGGCTACAAAGGAAGAGGAAGACCGAAGAAAGTATGGATGGATTGTGTGACGGAAGATATGCTTAAGAAAGGAGTGGATTCAGATATGACGGCTGATAGAGATGTATGGAAGAGCAGCACATACTGTGCCGACCCTCCATAAGGGATAAGGGCAAGTGGATGATGATACGAGCTGTTCTCGTGTTTTGAAATTCAGTTACTTTATTTTATTGTTTACATATGTCAAATTCTGAATTGCAAATGTCAAAATTACCGTTACCATAATAACCCTGCTTCCTTAATGTTGGCAGCTTGTAGTTTATGGTCCCTTTCCCACATTAGG